GCATTCCTGCATCAGTTGGGGATAACACATGACTAATCTCTGTTGGAATGCAAAAGCACGTTTGTGGTGGCTACCCGAAGGACAGTTTTTTCGCTTTCGGAATGTGATCGTAGGCCAAGAACTTGACTTCCATCGTCATTGTGATAGTTTTTACTTGGATATCATTGGAGGAACGAAACCGCCCCTAGAATTCCACGTCAACTATCAGTTACCGTTTTTCTCTCCGAAGTGCATGGAGCGAGTAGGGAACGTCCAAATAAGTTGACCAAGATACTGGGAAGTGTGTTGTTTATTCAACGGGTGCGCGGAATGTTTCAAGAATTCATCACGGAGTCATATTTTCTCGAATCAAGTTAAATACGCCGAAGAAGAATCCAGGATCTGGACTTCAGTTCACCCGAGCTACCAGAACCGATTTTCAACACTTTGTCAAGACTGTGATTAATTATCCTTTGTCCAAAGGAGATGATATTTGTGGTCTGATTGTTGTTTGGTGTGAAAGGAACATTGAATACAGCGATTTGGTCATACGTATTGAGATGCTTACCGACTATGAGAACATGCGATTTTTCTACACTGGCCTCATCCATGATTATCTGAATCGACTGAGTGGCGAATTACCTGTCCCATTGCATTGAAGATTTCTATCCACGCTGGTATCAATACGGTGTATTATGGATATTAGGCAACGGTTTCACAAACTCTTTTCTCAACCCCACCAAGATTCGAGCGGACCACCCTTGGTTTAAGATTCCCTCCGCATTTGACAGTAAATGTGAACGGCTTTGTTGTAGCCCCATTTAATTTTCTGATGATGTGTTTTTCCTATTCTTCTCTATTATAACCGACCAAATACGTTAGAAAAACTTTCGAAATTCTTCATCCCGGTTTCCTGAGCATCAATCATCTGTCTTTTACACCCGTGGATGAACTATTTGTTATCACAACCCGAATATACGTATAGAATTATATCCTTAATATTGAACCAATTTATATCATTATTTCAGTATTGTTCTACCATATTTTATGCAGGGGCATAACTAGGAATATCCGAAAACAATTGTTCACCCACCCACTCATTTTCTCAATGCTCTTATGGGAATATTCAATATGTAAGTCCAGCAAACAATTTCCACAACTCATTTTTCACAGCTTTTGGTTTGGACGTAAGAAAAATGCAATTTAATAGAAAAATCTCCGGTCTGCGATGGTTATCACCGATAATTGAGCACAATTTAATGCTTATGAAGGGGATTACATGAGTATCTGAGTTTCGAGACTTCCTACATGGGATGTCGTGATACATCGAATTACTTTTCGGTGGGAGATATTGGTTTCTAAATGAAGGACTTTTTTGGTTTACTCTCATTGTGATAAATTCAAACAGGCCAATACAGATTAGCCGTAACCATGTTCCTTGAGCGATTGGGGTGGGCAAAATTTCGCCGATTGCCGTTACCCTACTCACAAGTAGCTTAAACTATTCTAAAGAATAAACAATTTCTCCACGATTTTATGTAATATGATTAAATCATGTATGCATGTAATAGACAAAATAAAATACATACACATGATAATATGAGGTAAACAATACAATCGATAATAAACCGAATATTAAAAATATTTAGACCAATAAAATAACGCCGTACAAAACAAATCTGAGATTAACAAGGATCAAGACGGTTGATGTTATCCAAATATTTCCATGTCATGCGAATGGTTTGAATGGAAAAAATACATCACATTCGACATTGGACCTGTTTCAAATAGTTTTAGATCATATCAGTAACGGAGCTTTGCACCATATTTAACTCTCGTTTAATCGTGTTTCAAAATACCTCTATTTCATTAGTAGTGTGACGTTTGAGACTGTGTTGGTCTGCCTGCCTACATGGGTTGCCATTCCTGCCTTCTCCCCAGTCCATGAACCGGTTACAATAATCGTGTTGTTTAATTCAGTGTACTCATCTAGCTACTTAACCTCAGACACAACAGTTACGTATTCCTCACGCAGTCTCAGGCGTTATCTCGTAGATTCGACTCACCACCACGACACAGGATAATCACAGAGATCAATCTGATAAGAGAATTCCAGGGTCATCAATCACAAAGCATCGCATGAAAACTGGACCCACCGTTGGTCGTTCAAACCGTTGTTATGTAACGCGAATCCCAAGGCTCTCAGCTTTCAGCGAAGCAATGTTAATCAAGTTATATAATCCATTTTTGTGTGCACAAAATTTTCTAACGCAATCAGTCAAATTACCGTGTGACTGATTCTGGAACTGGTTACCCCCCCCCCTTGACTTGCGGTTATCAGTCCACCGAAGTTATCAAAACTGTCTTGTGTTAATACGAAATCACTTTACGCTGTCAAGGCTGAGGAGATTGAAAGAAATTTCAACATGTCACATGGTTTGTCTTCTCCCTGTTCCATTGAATAGAACTGATGCAACTACGACGGCTACGACTGTGTAGCTGAGGTGCACCTCTCAGTTAATCTGAGTCAATCATGGTTGATTGATCTCTCCTTCCCGTTTTTGTTCGCCTATTTCAAAATCTGTCATTCTATTAACCAAATGTGATCAGAATGTCTATACACAGTTGATGGCATTACCACGAAACTGAAGTTGAATTCCACACATCCTGTGATCATGATGTCTCTTCTTTATCTCACGAAATCTTTTATGCTTCTTCCGCGGATCCCACTTGAGCATTGAGGTCTCCAGCGACTACTACGATGTCCGATGACCGAGCACTTTGTTGCAATTCAGAAAGATCCTTACAGAATTTATTCTTTAATTCGGGTGCACTGCAATTGGTTGTTGAATATACAGACACGACGAATAAGCATCGATGATTTGTTCCATAGCAGTTGACTCGTACCGTAACATCAAGACGTACAGTGCACAGTCAGCATCTGACTGCAATCCAGTTCGGAAGCGAGCGCTCAGCCCTAACACTTGGCGCAATCCCGACACCAGCAACACCGCGGGTGTCCGATGCATGCATGCCTGTTGGCTGATCTGATAGATTAGGCGGATATTGAAGGCGATTGAGTGAGGAGATTTGGGTTCTATCAATCTCATATCGTCTTACTCATCGACTTTACTAGTTCAATACTGAGTGATATCCCATGAGTAGCGTAAACAGCAGGTAGGCATCTCGAAAGATTTGCCGGTGGGAGGAAGAACTGTACGGAGAAGAAACGGAGTTTTCCAATGAGTACCTTAAGGATTGGTGCACAACATGCTTAGCGAGAGTTCATATGGACGAAACAGGTTCTTTGAAGCCCCATCCGAAGCCTTTGACTTAAAAATCTAACCCACAGAGCAGTGAGAGGAAACAGGATCAAAGTACTCATTTGGAAAGACTTGACAAGCAGGGTCTTCGGATTGACGGTTCAGTGTAATGTTCGGTGTTTTATGATCGACCTTTAATCTCATGCACACCAGGAAACAAGTGGAACAGGGACAGAACGGCACCCCGTTGACTGCGGCTTCTCTGCTGGGTCGGGTAGCTGCTGTAAAGTGAGGTGCGAAGACATCGAATACCGTCGAGAGGAATCCCCAGGTATGGTGCTCCTGGGTCCATCTAGCGGGGGGAGGTTGACTGTGAAAGGAAAAGATACTGTAAATTCAACCGCAACTGTTGTTATGATTTCAAAACTACGGCGAGGAGAATTCTTTATTCAGAGAGCAGCATCGGATAGGGTTAAATAAAATTACAGAACGAGACGTCTTGTAGGGAACAGGTCACAATAGATCCGACAAGTATGCAGGATAATTGATGGAACAGTTCGAAGGTAGATGTGCATTTGCCTTAGTTACAATTGTAAACACACTAATTCGCCATAGGAGTTCTTGTTCATTTTTCACCGTTGTGAGAAACTCACAACGGGGCCAAAATGGGGAAAAATAGTCAACTTTAGAGATAAAAACCTTTTTTCTTTATTTCCTGCATACCATTTTGACATTTTTGCCTGCTTTACTTTGGGGTACCACACAGGAACAAGATGCCTACAAATCGCTGACTTTGGTTCGATGTCATATCTCGCAGTGTCTCCAGCGCTTACGGAAGCCAAATCCGGGCACAATCTCTTTAACCCTCTGTGCCACGTCATAGCCTGCCCACCTCGCTGTTTCTTCCAGCCCGGACCGATATCTGCGAATAGTGCACGGTATGACAGACGTTGCTCAGGCTTTCGTAGGACGTGCCCTAGCCAACTAATACGGTGCAGTGAAATGGTTTTGCTCAACGGAAGACTATCTGGTCCTAGCACACGTCGTCTGACCTCATCGTCATTCACGAGGCGCGCCCAAAAAATTCGGGCGATGTAGCGCAGACAAAAGGTTGTCGAAGATGGATAGTCTTTGGACATGATCTGCTCGAAGAGGCCAAATTTTGCAGCAATAGAGCAACAGGCCGCGTATCGTTGTGCAATACACGTGCCCTGACACTAGAAGGGCTATATAGCGCTGATACCAGAGATGCAGCAGATTAGCAAAGGTTGATTTAGCTTTGATCACAAGTTGAGCGATCTCCTCAAACACACGCCACACACCGCCACCAGCCGTTGGGTATCTTCGAGGTAGGCAAAGCTTGTAAATCCATAAATTTCCCCCTCGAAAATACAACCCAAACAACATATCTAAAATATGTGACTCAGGAGATCTCTTATTTACCAAGAAAGATCAAAATAAGCATTACAAGAAAGTTGAACCATAAATGTCAGTCGTGATTGAAAGATAAACAATACACACAATGGAATGAAAGTGCGATAAGAGAAGGACATTTGAGTTGCAAGAACAATTGCATTTGCTTTCACGCGGGGTTCGATCCCCAAACGATCACAGATATCGGGGCTACTGGACAACTGAATCCGACTTTCACATAAACAAAAGTGATGATGTTATTTTGTCGAATGAGGGCATAATCTCACAAAGGTTTGGATTGAAACAGCGAAACAAATTACATTGTGCTCAGTGTGAATCGACCGCTTAGAATGTGCATTTCACCGGTGCCGGTGGACGTCTTTTCCAGTGCACCTTCCCGGACCATTTGGGACGCGTGGGGTTCAGGCAGCTACGAGCCTCGGTGCCGCGTGAGCGCGCGCGAATGTTTTTCGAGTTCGGAACAGGTTTGATCGGAGGTTGTGGATCAGGCACAAGACGCCAACTGTGGTTTGTTTGAGACATGGGGACGGGGGGTCGATAGATTAGAATCAATGAACTATTCGCTTTTTATGGTATCCTTTTCAGATTCAGAAAAAAATTTTAATAAAATGTTCTTCTAAATGCGATGGAAATGTTTGTGATAACCGAAAATGAGCACTGGACAGCTATTTCGTCCTACTTGGGACTTGTCAGGAGTGCATACCTTTTTGGTCCTGTCAAGACTCGAACCGCGAACCCTCGGATTGGGACTTCAAACCCTTACCCTGAACTACACAATCGAAGTTCATCACCTTGTGCGAATGCCTCAAACAATTTAGACGGTGAATGTCTGGATTAGCTCATTCGGTTATCACATTTAAACGCCTTAAACTAGCTGGGAATTAACGATATCCCAAGGAGTGAAACCCACACCCAAGATCATCAACAGTGCCATGTGCCTGTGAAAAACCGAATGGGTTAATCCAAACAGTCACTATGTAAAATGATGTTCTTCCGTTTGAGCAACCACCTTACAAACTTAGAACACAGTTGAGTTCCAATTTCGGGTTCTGCCATTAGACAAACCCATATACTACTTATGGTAAAATATTCTACAAAGACCACCAAGTCACGTTTGCTGTGGTTAGTAGATTCTAACCTACTTACAAAAGATCGAATCATAGCATTAATTCTCCAATGGACTAGCTCTGAAAGAGCTGTCTATCCAATGGTCACCCGGTGTTGCAAACAAGGTTTTTGTGACGAAAATACACTTCCTGGGTGCCGGTATATGAATGAACTGGCAAAAGGTTTTCGCATACGCTTGCCTGACGAGCGGCAAGGACCGCGAAACCGGTCGTGCTTCCAGGAAAATTTTGTCCAGTCATTCACATGCTACCTATTGTAAAATGTATATATATATATATATAGCAATAAATTGGTAGCGGTCTCCGAGTCAGCTGTATCCAAACTGTTCAACTCAGTCCCCTCGAACACCCTGGTCCATACTATGTCTAGTCTGGGATTGAAATCTGCTGTCGAGTTGGCAGCAATGACTTAATCCGGTAGCCAATTTCAGTTATTCACAACTACAACCGCGAAGGAGGACGCTCTCAGGCGGGGCCTCATCATGTCCTTAAACCAGTTTTAGAGCGTTCCCTCTGAGGTTTGTCGCTTCACTGAGTTGGAGCCATTCTCCCTCTAGTGCAGCCATAAAGCCTCTCAAGATTTTATACGCCTCGATCAAGTCTTCACGTCGCCTGCGCCTACTCAACGAGAAGAGGTTTAGGGATTCGAGACGCCTCTCGTACGAGAGCTGGCTTAAGCCCGCAAACCATTTGGTGAAGTGATGTTGGACTGATTCTAACGTTTTCATGTTCAACCAATGCTGGTACGTTTCCATATTCGTTTAAACAGTCCCAGAGCACATTTCAGATAGAACAAAGATTGGCGAAGCTCTTTTTCAGTGATTCGTATTTATGCCAAATACATCACAATAAACATCCAGTTGTTTATATATAAGTCAGTATTCAACCATAAAAACCAAACAATTGTTTTGTGAAAGGAAAATAATCTCAGGTTATTTGGAGCTAATTCCGTCTTCGTACCGGGTGTGGAATTCTCAATGATCACATAATTGTCAGATCATCCGACCGTTGGGACCATTCGGCATATGGGGTGTGTGGGGTGGGCCAGAGAAGCTTAAGCGCCTGCAAAAATTGTTTTTGGGCACACAGAAAGGGGTTACGCAGACGAATTCCTACCGCTTCCGCTGTGGCCAGCATACGATAGTCGACCACGAACCCGATACAGGGGATGGAATTACTCGGTCATATTCAGAGTGTGATTTGTTTCGATTAAGGATGAAACCACTGCATTAGTGAGTGACTTAATCGTATTTAGCTATGCGGGTTGGTGTTCACGGATACGTTCGGACAAACGCCTGACCGTGCGGACCATGTACGTTGTTCCACAGGAACATGTAAATGGGTACACACCAAATGAGACGGCAGAATCTGGCATTTTATCCATAATTGGTTGGCACGTGAACAAAACATTGAGATTTGCTTCATCGAAGGTCTTACTAACAGCATCGGATAGTTTCTTTTGTATTACTTCTGCCCCTTGAACGGCAAGGCAATGTATGTATACCGACTTCTCTCTTTTTTGTAGTTGAATACTGATTTATACATAAACAGCGCGATATTCATTGTCATGTATTTGGTGTGACTACGAATCACCAAAAACGATTTTGTTCACCACTCTTTGTTTTCATATTTGCTGAAAGCAAATGTTGAGGCTTTAGCTGATATTGAATGATATGGAGCAGCCATTAAGATCAATAACATTTTGAACCATTCCGCCAGTTTACCTGGATACAAACTCTAGGTCTACCATCTGTTTCTAAACTACAGATATCAAGGACTGGGTGGAGACCAATACCGCGAAGTATGCACGTTCTGTGTATCCGTATCGTTGCGAACGCCATCAAAAGCATCTGTGATCAACACTTCTGCATGCCAGGAACTGTGAAACAACTTCATCATTACGGTGAACAAGTTTTCTTGACCAANGACGAATAGTCTTGGGATTGTGTATATCATTTTAGGAATGAAAGACTAGATCATCATGCTCATTTGATCATCCTGATTGGCTAGGATAACAAATGGAATGTTTGCGTAAAGTGTCCTAAATAATGTCGGAGCAGACACATTTGTCGGAAAGATTTGAATACAGGGTCCCAAGTTCTACCTCAAAAAATTGAAATCAAAAAGGAAGTTCGATATTCACCACAGACGAGTTCTCCACAGCATTATTGACACAGAGTGAAGTATGGTTGATCAGGTAGCTCCAGACCTTCATGCTCAAGTTCGGCTTTGGAGGCAGTCTTAGGGAATTTGGTGATCATCTCAATTTTCAAAAAGGCTCACACAAAAAAACAAAGGTATAAACTGATTCCCAGTCGTAATTAAGCCTCTGGAACCCGATTGACTCCTCAGATGAGTCGAAACACGCAGAGATATAATTCAGGAGTAAAAAGATGCATTTCTTGTTCGCGGATAGAATCGTTATCATCCGTCAGCTACCCAGGCATCATGACATATTTCAAGAACCAGTTTCCATGGTATTTCCGAGTCATCTGTCGATCCACTCACTCATTCACCGAGGAATGGAGTATGCAAATAAACATTTCCTTTCTCAAAACGTTTCCTTAGCACGAGCGGGATAGGACTAACACATCCGGCCGTCTTACATCATCACTTTCGCCTGCAGTGGTATTTGACAAGGTTACGGTGGTTGCTGCCTGCCTGCCTTCCTTCCTACATACTGATCGTTCCTGCTTTTTCCCCGGTTTGTGTACTGGCTACATATTTGCTGTTTACAATAAACTTATTGCTTCATTCGTTGTGTGCTCACCGAGAGATCATGATAACCTGTGGTTAGAAACACTAGGTGATATGGCTGAGTGTCGCAAACAGTGGCACTTATGTATCTACTCATTATGCTTGCAACCTCAGTCTAAATGAATCACCTTTCCCCTGAGTTTGCCCTCAACAATCCAATCTTCATTCTGCTCACTTATCCAAATGAGCAGCCAAAAGATAGTAAACAAAAACTGGGGCACGAAAGTGTATGAATTGATGAGGAAACACAGATGTCCGCAAACATCCCCAACATACATCCAAACGTACAGTCTCACGAGCCACCGAACAACGTAAATCCACAACGGAATTCAGAGAACGCATAGTCCTCCCACTAGAGATTATGCGTTCTTTGAATGCCCTTGTGGATTAACGGAATTGCATGGTTAATGGCTATAAAAAAGAACTTAAACCGAAACGCTATATAGATGCTCCGCTTCAAATATCCCATGAATAATATTTCCAAAAGAACGCCTCTTGTGGTCGAAATTTCTAAAGAATTACAGCACTTCATAGATTAGAGTGAATTATCAAATAACCTTTCTACCTGGACGTGCGCAAGAGCTGAAACTCATGCTTGAACACTTGCAGATTGATGTCGCTCGACATGGTATTATTTTTGACTCACACTGATGTACAGGTTTTTTCAATTCTAATAATTGTTAGTTCTCATGATCTTTTGACTTTCTGTTACTGAATATACAAAAGTAAATCAACTTTCAGGACGGAAGCGCAGCCATTAGAACCCTGCCTGGGACACAGATAGAGGGGGAGAATGAATACCTTAGAGAATGTTTGAATTGGCAATTTCCGACGATCTCAACATTGTCCTCTTGAAATTGCTGTGGAAAATCTATGAAAACAGTTGGAGGCATCTAATCAGGTTTAATCGTGAATGAAAGTAACTGGTGTGCATAGTTTGAAGTAACACCGGTTGGGAAGGTTTTCAAAAACAGTTATGAAACAAAACGAGACCAGAAAGGCGTACGAACCACACCCACCCACACCTTCCTGGTCGTGGTGAAGGTCACCGGTTCGATTGGGTATCGAGGTGTATTGTGCATCTTGGACGTTTGAGCCCAACTGAATATTGTATAAACCGATAAACTGTACACCGGTCCCCTATGGATTGCGGCTTCTGCACACCATCCCGCTGCTTTNTCAGGCTAGCCGACTAGCCGAAAGTTCCGGCTGTGAATTCCCTAAAAACATTCACCTACTTCAACCTGGTTAACCTGACCGTATCGTGCCTCTGAGCGTGGTGATTTGTTTGGAATACCGTCTGGATTCAGACACGTGTTCAATACAATGCAATGCAATTATTTCACATTGTACACTAACAACCGTTATAGAGGTTGTGGTCCCGTATGGATTGAAATATTTACTGAACTCACCCATGGCCTTATTGATTGAGTAATCAATACTAACACTAAAACCTCGAACATACACACACACGTCCGGTTGACTTGGTCTATGCCGAGATCGATTCAAGTATTCAGCTACCCGCGCTAATTGATACATTTCTTGCTTGACAGCACTCGGATTGCATGCAACGCCTGCCCTTGTTTGTTAATTCACTACGGCAGACTGCATTCGCGTTGACGCTCTTCTTCCATCAAAAAGAAAGAAAAACAAAACCCCAAACCAGATATTCAACCTCAATCGTTCCTTACTACTAACTTTGAAAGAAGTAGTTTGCTATGTTCCCCTTTATTCGCTCCCGCATTCTCATGCGCGTCGTCTCCTTTCAAACGTGGAGCAGCAACTTTTTCGGTCTCGGAATAGTCTGAAGGAATGAGACCAGAGTTTAGCGTACCACGACCACGCATTGCGTATTCCAATCCCTGAGGATAAGGTGAAATGAAAAGAGGAGAGTCCACGTATATCAGGCAATTTTCTTGTGTAACAAGCAATTTCTATTCATTTGAGAAATTTGAAACACCTATAATCCCCCCCCCCGGTCACACTCTTCTAAATTATGAGCACCTGAACAAAAAAGATGTTGCAAAACACCGTTCCTAATATGTAATCTGAGTTTTCTAGCTTTTTGTGGAGCGGTTGCTTCTCTGTTCGCATTCAACTGGAACTATTTTTTTTATACATATTTATTTTCACACGCGGCTAAGTTTAGACTGTGTGCCAAACAAATCACGGCCAATATGAATTCTGTCCACATATATCTTCTTTCGTAAAAACAAAATCACGGTACAATAATCTTTAGAAAAAGAAACAAATGTTCATAATCTACATGTGAACCAGGTTGCCTGGGCCAAGGCAAGTGAACTATTTGGGGGCGGAATTCACAGCTGGAGCCTTCGGCTAACCAAAGCCAGATCCGCAAGGCAACGGGGCGATGTGAGAAAACAGTAGTCCACCACGGACGGGTGTCCAGGTCATCGGATTATACACCCTTTAGACGGGATCAAATGTCCAAGGTACCCAATATAAATCCATAATCAGTCGAACCGGAGACCACTTACCCAACCAGGAAAATGTCAATGGGTGTAGTTCGTGCGCCTCTCTTTGGTTGGTTTAGAATCTGGGTTTTAAGCCAGGTCCCCTATGTAAACTACCAGTGGTTCATCGACCCGGTTATTGCCCCGGATATTGGCTTTTCGTTTTTCTACTTTGATGAGAAACACTCTCCGCTAGGAGAGAGCAATGATTAGGGTTTCCTCAGCAGAGGCTATTTGAAACGCTTGATTGTATGGGAATATTTCGCGAGGTACAAGAAACGGGTGGCCAACCACAACCCGAGACACCCAAATCCGACCATCTTGAGGCTTTTGAAGGTAGTGAAATTATTTCGGTTTCTATTTAACCGAACATTCCTGATCCGGCTCGATGTTGCTTAATGCTCCTTGAAGGTGTAGTAAACGTGCGGCTAACCGTCCATTTCAAGTGGCTATTTCCAAGGGGTCGCATCCTATAATTCCAGTCATTTTCCCTCAACGATCGGGAAAGTGTGGAACGCTTTGACCCCTTCTTCTCTACCAATTGTACCCGGATCTTTGAACAGAAAATTTAAAAAAAAAACTTGTATCCAGCTTCCGTGTTATCTTCAACATTCCCGGTGTTGTGACAAAAATCGTTTCACGATTTCGGGTTGCGAATACGCGACACGATTTTGGACAATTAGGCCAAATCAACTTGGTATTCGGTTGTCACTAGGTGTTACGCAAGTGATCAAGGCGGATTTCTCATATTGTGCACAAACCGTCCGAGTGTACTGCATCATCGAGACCATCAACCATTTGAGTATGTTTTCTGCCACTCGGTACGCCAGACATAAATTCATCCATTATTCCTGTGAAGAAGTTGCAGCAGCAGTGACGTTGAGGATAATTTGTAAGACAGAAGGAACAATCG